TGCACCCACTATGGGTACACATTAATGTAATTCAATAGTTATTCAGTCTTTCCTTTGAAAGCAAAAAATTCGAGGTCCTTTAGTCTATCATTTGTTCTAAGTATTCTCAACTTTTTTTTGCATAATTTAAAATTATTTACCACCATCATTTCACACTTACTATCTCACCAGTATCACACAGATGTGATGATAGTAGTTCTCTCTATTCCCAATTCACTGACATGAGCAATTTTCAAAAAATATATAAAGTGCTATCTATAACCCTATAACAAATATCTATATTCTTCCTTCCCATATAGAAACAGGAACATTTTTTACAACTGTCATACTACTGGGCAATAGAAATTGAATTATTCCCAAAAGTGCATGCTGTTAAAATAGATACTGCATATTGGTTCAATAAATTAATTTGTTGTAAAAATATAAAATTCACTCAACATCATTGGAACTACAGAAGTAATTTTCTCAACAGCACACCCATACATGGGCTGCACCAAGTCCTGTTAAATTAAATATGTAAAAACTTATTTAACTTCTTACTTAATTCACTGCCACAGGTTCCAAACAACAGACCATTGTACCCAGCATGTACCATTTACTCTAAACAAAGTCCCTCTCTCATTTTTAGCTTCTGGTACCTCATCTCTGCTGACCTTGCTGCTACCAAGAGCTAAAGAAAAATGCAATTTTCAAGAGGAAGTTGAGGAAGGTCAGTTAATTTGTTTACACCAAAATGAAGACAAAGAATTTGGAGTTCTCTTTGGCAGCAGTCTATAACTCTCCATGCTTTGTTAGGTTACTAAGACAGCAACCATTCTATAATGCCTGAATCTCAAAGCCTGAAGCAACAGTCCTGTGTTATTGAAGAAATACCTTGTATTATCACTGTCAGTCATCAAAACACTCTGAAAACTGAAATGATGACATCAGCATGGCAAGCTTACTCTTTTTAAATAGGCAAACCCAACTATTTTACATTAACAACGAAGGAGCTCCTATACTATGGTAGTGTAGCAATTGGAGAAAAATACATATTGGAATGCACATGCAGGGATATGTACATACCTATTCATATTACTGAATAGTTAATGAAATCTGAAAGAGCATTTCTGCAGGTCAGTGGGAGTTTTGAGGTATCCATATTAGCTAGATATTTATAGCCAAGCTTCCTAGGAAAGGCTTCTGGGTTTTCACAATATGGCTATGTTTGGGGGATTTAAGAAGTAAGTATTTCTTTGAGAAAAGAGACAAAACAGGATTAAAATCTATGCTCAAAGATGGAAGTAGAGAATTTTGAACACAATGCTTAAAGTTAGAATTTCATTTTCTGCTTTGGGAAAAATATATAAATCTTTGATATCCCTAAAATTTGCCTTGTCTTCAGTTTCTTCATCTCCTTTATATAAGCCCTAACATATTTTAATTGTTGAAGAGCTAAACAATTCAGTAGCTTTATTTTTAAGTAGAAAGTGTAGACAAAATTCTCTTAGTCTTCAACCTTTCAATCTCTACTTCAGATATATTTTAGCTGGTAAAACAAAGGTATTGATTTAGCTGGTAGAAGAGAGGCATTGATAGAATACATCTGCTGTCTTAAGTACCAGAGTGAGTTAAAAATATGTAGGAACATCTCCAATGCTTTAGCACTCCCACATCATTAATTAAGAGTAAAAATCAGCTTGAAGGGATTAAGTAGAGTGTGGCTGACAAAGAACAAAAGCTTTATCCCTTTAAAACAAGATTAATTTGCTGCTTAAGGAAGATAAACAAAAGCATTTGAAGTCTCTATGCTTTAGATTAAGCAGAAGAGATTGGTTGTTTGGTTACAATAGCTGGTAATGTTCTATTAGAGAAAATTACCTTTTTCTCTTTTCATAATGTTTAATGATAGAAGATCCTCTCAGTCTGAATTTTGACAATGTGGTCTGAATAACATCTACAGATGACAAAATATGGGTTCCTGTTTCTCTATACCCAAGAACTCTATTCAATTCCATTTGGAATTCCTTTCCTTTAAAGCTTTCTCAATCAAATGTTCTTTGCTGGCGGTTTCACTGACAGGCTCAAACTTTTCTAGGAATGGTTCAAAATGCAAATTAATGCATGACAAAACATTTAAGTTTTTAGAAGAAGACAGTGATAAACCCACAACTTTGGACATCTTTCCCAGTGTCTTTCTTGCAAACCAGGATTGTGAATGACCTGGATTAGAGGAATGTGGGATCTCAATTCTTTTACTTTGCATTTAACTTGCCTTGTTACTGCTAATGCACGTGGAGAAGTGTGGGAGGCTTTGACAAGTTTATACAGCCCATGCCAGTAGTTTTCTACATCATTCTACTTCATCTGGGTTCACCTCTCTGTCCAGTCTGTTTTCTGTTGTATCCCACAGCCACATCACTGAGATGACTGAGGACCATATAGGAAAAAATTACCATGCTCAGTAAACTTGCAGTTTAAATCTCAAAAGGGGTTTCATGCCAGTATAATACTACACACTACCTGTGCTGAAATGCTATTTATTTATTCTCCAACACAAAATTATAGCATAACACATGTTCATCTTAAAGACATCATATTCACAGAGAGCAAACAGTTCACTTTTTGATTGAAAAAATTGCTGCAATTATGCCTGATATTAAACTTCACTGTAGAAAAAGTTAAAATCACTCAGACCCAAATTCAGCTGACCACTGAGGCACCCACCTGTATTCCAAACATTTAATACCTGGCACATGCACCAGAACTTTGCTGAGCAGCAAGTGACTAAAGACAAGTTACATTTCAAGGGTGAATGTAAGTGCTTTGCTGAACTGAAACATAAATACATCAAAGAAACAGCAGGGGTTGATTACTGAAGTGATATTTGTGAACTGAGGAGATGGGATTTTACAGTTCCCAAACTGCAAACTGTACATCTGCTAAATTTTAAATGATCATTCAACAAAGGCTGTAAAGGCAAAATGACTTCATACAACTTGCCAATGAGTGCTTTTTAAAGTTTTCTTGTGAAGAAGCAAATGCATATTCAAGTTCTCTACACCTCAGGTTTCGGGTCTTTGATTAGTTTAGTGTATTGGGAATGAATATTGAGTTTTCCACAGCTTATTCAATTGCTTGAATTAAATTCAGGAAAACCAAGAGTTATTCACTGTTTGACTGCATTGCCTCCTCAGAAGCCTCCACAACATGCAATTTAATTCTCCTGGCATGTTGCCCACACTACAAAAATCACCTGTTATCTGCTGCTTACAGTGGCTAGATGGGCATCGATATAAACCCCAAGCCATCACATACAGACAGTGCCTTCTGAAAAACAGCTTTTAAATGTCCGGGTAATACCTATATTACTTTCTAAATACCTACATTACTAACCAGCCACTCTGCCTGCTACCATGCTCCTCTACATCTGTGACCTCCATACTTTCTTGATCACACAAGAAAGACTGAGCAAGAAATTTTTGAGCACACCTCCCCAATATATGTATATTTATTTACAGGTTGTACAAACAACCTACCATACTATTATATTATATACACAATAAATCATACACAAAAGTTAGACATTAAAACCAGAAGAAATTAAGATGAAATTAACAATGTTATAATTAATTTTAATTAACTTTATATAATAGTTTTTTACTTTTAGTAATCATACTATTATTACTACTATTTTAAGTGAGAACAATTGTGTGATCAAATATGTTTCATTACTCTTGGTTCAATATTTTGAGTTTCAAAGGTCTGAGTTCAGTTAATTTCAGCACTTTGTTTTAATGGCTATCATAGCTTAAAGGTTGATGACAGGTTCAAATGGTAGAATTGCATCATTGGCTGAGGTAAATAAATCATTATTCCATCCACCAGTTATGTAATTATTTTTGTTTAAATTCATAGTTTACTTTTACCTACCCTGATGTCCCTTTATTGTTCTCACAAACTGACTGGAAGGTCTTGCATTTCTGAATTTTTAAAATTACAAAAAAAGTTTTTGGAAGAGATTGCACCGACCCTTGTCCAGCAGAGATTTGAAGCTCTCCAAGGCCACTGCCTCCGCAGGCAAACTTCTCCCCTGTTTATCATTCACTGCAAAGAATGCCATCCCTATGCTTGGTCGGAATTCCCCCCGCTGCCAACTGAGGGAGCTGCTGCTCCTGCAGCAAAGCACCAAGCAGAATCTGGCACCATTTGCTCTGTAGGCTGTAAGTACATCCCTGCACCTCATTATTTTCTCCCAAAACACGCAGTTGCCTCAAGACAGTCTTCACTCACCAAATGCTGCAGCCCCATAACCCCATGGTGACCTGATGGACTCGGGTTTATCAGCAGCTTTACAGATGACGTGGGTAAAATCACCTGAATCAATCAGGTGACTCTGAACTTGGAACGTGCTCTTTGCAACCCATGTCATAATAGTGAAATTGAAATATAAAGCTCGAGCAGCCTTGATTTGGGTAAGCACTACCTAGCAACAACAAAACATCAGTGTGTTATCAATGTAATTGTCATACTGAGTCCAAAACACAGCACTGTGCCAGCTACTGAGAGGAAAATGAACTCTAGTCCAGCAGAAACCAATACAATGACATAATATTTTGTACTTTGCACCAAGCTGAAGACTTGGTACGTAAATTAATTTCTGTGGTTTCTAAAGGGGTGCCCGTAGGAGTTTCTCTGGAAACATTACAGGAGCAGCAGTCCAAACCAAAAGCATCTGTTTAAATTCACACTGCTAAGCCAATTAAAGGAGATCTGGGCAGCTTTAAGGAGGACCGTGCTGCTTGCAAAGCCCTGTTTTGCAGAGCTCGCAGCACAGAGCGCGGTTTGATTGCTGGATCCCTGCGCTTCAGCGGGACCGGGCCCTGCGGCCTCTGCCAGGCCCCGCCGCACCGAGCGAGGGCTGAGCTGGCAGCGGTAAAACCCGGCAGGCAGAAAGTTAACGCATAAAAGCGGAGTTAGATTTTTAAAAAAGCGGAGGACTTTAAAGTTTTAAGGCCCACCTTTCAGCTCAGAAAGCTCGCTGCGCAGCGCGGTGCCGCCGGGCGCTGTGCGAGCGCCTCAGCCGCCGCCCTGAGGCGCCGCGCTCGGCCGCTCTGCAGCGGGACACGGCAGCTCGGCACCGCCGCTCCCGGGCACCGCCGCTCCCGGGCACCGCCGCTCCCGGGCACCGCCGCTCCCGGGCACCGCCGCTGCAAACCTGCGGCAGCCCAGTCCCGCTCGGCACCGCTGCTCCCAGGGCCCCGCCGCCTCATCCCAGCCCTGCACACCTGCGGGAGCCCAGTCCCGGCCGCGGAGCCCGCCCGGCACCGGGAGCCCGGCAGGCGCTGCCTTGCCGTGCCTCGCCGAGAACACCTCACACCTGAGGGAACGGAATTAAGCGCAGCTGAGGGGAATTAAACTTCCACATGAAACTTTTCTGCGGCTGTGCCGGGCCGGAGCTCAGCTGTGCCGGTACTGCTCCGCGACTGTCTGCCAGCAGAAAAAGCGTCAGCCCCCGCTGTGCCTGCCAGTTTCAATCAAGAACGGTGAATACGGCTTTGAGCAGCATGTGCCATTCGCGGCTGCCGAGGAGGTGTCCTCCTCACCTTTATAAATAACCCCCGTGTATCAATAAATGAGCGCAGGTGCTCGTCTCCAGGCAAAGCAAGGGCAGGTGCGTCAGCTAAACATGCAAAAAACTCAGCTGTGGTTGCAAAATGATTGCTACCGAGATAGAATGGGCTTGGGTGGCTAACCCGCAACAGCAACCAAAGGTTTTCCAGGTACCTCATCATGCATCAGCCCATCTTGTGCACAATGACTTGAGATTTAAACATCCTACCCCTACACTCCTGGAAAATTATAGAATACAGGGAAACATAAAAATCTATTCAGTTTCATTGGTAGTCAGTGGGTGTTTCCTCCACTGCATCCGATGATTTGACCAATTTAAATCAACTACTGGCACAGTTGGTATGACTTCTAACACTGCTGTGGCCAGGTTTGAAACTGATTTTGCCATGTTTAATACTTTGAAAATTTTAGATGAGGTTTCTGTATGTTTTCACAGCAATATATAAAAGGTAGCACTAATTTTTACAGTGTTAACCTGCTGAAAAATGCCTATAAATGAGCTCCAATTCAGGCCTGTAACCAATCTTGTCAACTGCACCCAGAGCATTACGAGTCTAGATAGCAAGTTTTAAACATAAAAGCCCCTTTATTAAAATACCACAGGCAAAGAACCACTAGGTTATTTCTGCTTTGTCCAGCTGCAGAAGGCTCAACATCACCTGGAATTCCCAGTGCATTTTCTAAATCCAAGCCAGCACCAAAGCCTGGTTTTGATTTTGAAATGAGAAATACCCTCATACTCAACCTAGCATAGGGAGATTCAATGAAGCTCTGGTCTGTACTGGCTATGATATGGACCAGTGCAGCTGGAAACCAGCAAAGGGAGCTCCCTGCTATTTCAGCTATCAGAACTACACCTACAACAAGCAGTGGCACATTCAGCACACACTGCCATCCACTGCTGGGCAGGGGAGGCCTTTTGCTAGCACGTGACCTTTTGGGGTTTTTTGTCTGATAAGAAACTGGAAACAGCATACCTACTTGTACTCTTTAGAGGAAGGAAGAAACAGATTACTAATATGAGAAACATTATAAAGAAAACCCTTATAAAAATCTGATAATGAAATACTACAATAATTTTCATTATCAGAATTTTCTTCTAACAACAAGAATAATACCTACCTTGCTGTTTACTCATTACGTGGGATACCAGATAAGAACTTTTATGTGATCATTCCTGTACCTGTTTTTAATTATTAAAAAGTTTTCTTATACTCTCATAGCACATTACTCACTGGTAGACGACTTGGCAATTCAGCCTTGTAATTTTATCATTAAATTTGGTAAGACTTTCTACACTCTGATTCATTCTGTATCTTGCTCATTTCTGCAGTGCTGAGTGGACCAAGCAGTATTTGCAAGCCTGTCAACTGCCAGGTTCTCAATGCTCAGGATGAGTAGTTTCTGAGAGAACCAGAGTAATAGCACACTCGTGTTCTGCCCCAATTTTACAAAGTATTTCTTCAAACTCAACTTGCCTCACTTGGCAAGAGCACAAGCACAGCTGTCCTGGTAAGAAGAGGGTCAGTTATTACCATATAATGGCTTGGGTTGGGAGGGACCTTACAGATCATCCAGTTCCAACCCTCTGCCAGGGGCAGGGACACCTTCCACTAGAGATCAGATTGCTCAGAGCCCCGTCCAGCCTGGCCTTGAATGCTTCTACAGATGGGGAATCCACAGCTTTTTTGAGCAACCTGTTCCAGTGCCTCACAACCCTCACTGTCAAGAATTTCTTCCCATTACCTAGCTAACCTAACCTAACTCTACTCTCAGTTTAAAGCCACTGTGATGCATTTCTCAAAGATGTTTCTCCCCTAGGTTTTTTTGAAAAGGCAGAAATTTGAAGTTTTCTTAAACCACCATTAAACAGAATGGTTTGTTTTCTTGATGTGTTAAAAAAAATACACATCATTCCTGATAAGGACTCTCACTGTGAGAAATGTAAATATTCGGATAATTTCTGAATTTAATGCTGCAACCACATGGACACACTGTTTCTTTCACTAGAAAAAAAGCCCATTTGTACATTTCAAACAACGGGAAAGCTTTGTCAATGAAATGTGCCTTTGGAAGAAACACACTACCCGGGCCACCAGGAGTTAACCCCCCTCTTTTGAGTGCAATTCCCTTTGTAAAGCACACTTGTTTTGGGGTTTGTTGTTTTCCATTTCAGCCATCTACTCGAAAATGAAACAAATGTCCCATTAGTGCCCTACAAAGTTAATATGTATAACAAAGATTGCATTTGTCTTACACAGCCATTCAGAAAGGGCAGTAGAATTTAACATAAAAAGTATCACTTCATTAAGTACAGCCAGATAACTAAATTATTATAAATAGGAACACCAACATTTTCTACATAAACCCCAGACACATGGAAAACAGTTCCAGGAACTGAGCTGCTAGGGTCATGATTCACTGGTAGTAGTCAGCATGGATTCAGCAAGGGAAGTCAGACTTGAGCAACCCTCTGCAGTGAAATGACTGCCAGGAGCTGAAGGGAGAGCAGCAGGGACTGCCTGCCAAGACCTCTGACACTCTCCCAGAAGATCCTGGTTAATGATGATGGGCAGAGCATGCCCTCAGCAAGGCCGCAGGTGACACAAACTGGGAGTGGCTGATACACCTGCAGGTCCTGCTGCCATCCATAGGGACCGCTGTAGGCTGGAGAAATGGGCTGTGGAGGAAGAGTTCCACAAACTGACACATCCTGGAGCAATTCAGCTGAAAAAAACCCTTTGCAAAGAAGGCCCTGGGCTCCTGGAGTTGCATAGGAGCCAGCAGTGTGCCCCAGACCAGGCTGATGACACAGGCTGCACCAGCAGGGTGACAGAGGCAATCCTTCCCTTTACTCACACAGACATAGCTGGGAATCCAACCAAAGGGATTCAGGGACTGCAGCACCACTCTTACAAGGAAAGGATGAGGCAACAGGGATTGTTTAGCCAGAAGAAAGCCCAGGGAGACTCTTATCAACACATACCATCATCTGAAGTGGAGGTGCAAAGAAGATGGATTCAGGCTCTTGTCAGGGATGCCCAGTGACAGGACAAGGGGGAGTGGCACACACGGGAACACGTGAGCTTCCGTCTGAGCACAAGAACATACTTTTACTGTAAGCCCGACAGAACTGCAGCAGGTGGCCCAAGGAGACAGTGTCCTTCCTTGGAGATCCAAAGCCATCTGGACATTGTTCTGGCCAGCAAGGCCTAGATGGGATGGCTGGAGCAGGCAGCATGACTTGCAGAGGTCCCTCCAACCTCAACCAGCCTCTGATTCTGTGAATAAACAAAAACATGGAAATTTTGAAAACATGGCAGGTTTTTGGTTTTGTTTTTTTTTTTTTTAATAGAAAAAGGTCAGGAACTGCATAGAAGTACAACTTCAGCCATCTGAAAATGTTACTCAGTATCCATCCACACTTGGAAAGTCCCAGTAATATGGCAGGAAGCAAAACAGAGTAACAGTTGCCTACAATACATGTATTTACATTCAACTGGAATTAATCTGCATAACAATATTTTAAAATAAATCAAATGCACTATCCAAACAAAGTCTGATTTAAGGTATCTTTTAAGTATATATAAAATACAAATAAAGTCTTCAAAACTTAAATTCTTTAGATAAAACCAATTTTCGATTATTTAAAGATAAGTTAGCTCTACAGTAGTAAGGTGCTGGCATATGCTATCAGCTTTATTTTCCAGATGCTAAAAAAATAGTTGTAATTTCAAGTCTAGAATATTTTGGCAGAATTTTAAATTATAAGAATTTTTAAACCATTTTTTTTTACCTTTATCTACACAGCTTTTTGGCATTTTCTTCTTTACCTTAAGTGAACTTTATCTTCTACATATGTATTGAAGAATTTGTGGTTTTAACTTAGCCAGTTCTAACTGGAGTCCATGGAGAGAAAAAAAAAAAATCAAAAGGTCAGGTAAGACACCAACTGGGAAATGCCAAGGACTTTGAAAAGTAAGGGTGTAAAGTACCTGAGCACAATCCAACAGCTGCCTCCTGCAAAGGAATTCTGTAATTACATGTACAATCAGTACCACTGGAAAAAGCTCCATGAGAATTAATACGCAAAGGAGACCTGGTGTGGTTCACTCACACTCAGATATCAGAGCTTTGTCTCTGCTGAACAAACCTGTTACTTTATTTCACATGAAATTAAATCTTGGAGAACTTCTTCTTCTAACAAACACAAGCTGAAAAGTTTTCCATGCCTTTACACCTCAGTCTGCTTTCCACTTGTCAACGTGAGCATCCCCCCAATCCAAGACAACAGTCCTGAATCCCCTCATGCATTTTGGTGACACCTCACATTGGAATCTGTTTGGGAAAAAACTGCTCTTTCCTTGCGTGAAGAAAGATAAAACACAACCTTTTATCACTCATCAGGTTCACCTCTCAATCATATTCCAAAATGCCAATCTGCCCAACTACTGACAAATCCACAGGCACACTTGAAAAAGATTATCAGATTGTGGTATTTTATTGCAGGAAACAAATCCAATTAAAAGACAATTAAAT